CAGAGGACGATCGGAAGACCGATTCCGGGGGCAGTCTTCCCGGCACGAGGCAGTCGACGACGACCCATTGTACCGAGCGTGCGACTACCACGCATCGAACGTAATAAAAGATACACCGCATCCGCGTGTCGTTAATTCACCTACGCATCCCACACGAGTAACTCCCTATCGTAAGTTCCGTAATTCCTTTCCGTCGTTGAGATTTTTTTTGAAAAGAATGCCAACGGCTGCCAGTTGTCGTCGACGCGTTGCTGGAGGACGGCGCCCACGGTGAAGTCGGAAGCGTCGCAGGTAATGGACAGCGCCGCGTTCATTTTCGGGTGCGATAATAGCGCGGCCTGCGCCAGGCCTCGCTTCGACTCTTCGAACGCTGCGGAGGCTTGGGGTGTCCAGTTTATGGGCGCGCGCCCTTTTATGTTGTCCCGGAGTAGGCTATTGAGAGGCGCTTGCACCTGCGCGGCTTTAGGTATGAACCGTCTATAAAAATTTAGCATACCTAAAAATTGCCTCAGTTGCTTTGCGGTGGTGGGTTGCGGGTAATTGGTTATGGCCTCCACTTTGTCTTCCTTAGCTACTGTGTATCCCAGAAACTTGACCTGTGGCTATCCGAACACGCATTTTGCCGGGTTGACCACGACGCCGTATTGCTTGAGCCTGTTGAACACAGCTTCCAGGTGACCGACATGCTCCTTTTCCGATGCTGACGCAACTAAAATATCGTCGATGTAGGCGTAACAAAAGTCTAGCCCGCGTAACACCTCGTCGATAAACCGTTGAAATGTCTGTGCCGCGTTGCGTAGCCCGAAAGACATAACTGGAAATTCGAACAATCCGAAGGGCGTCGTGATGGCCGTCTTGCTGATGTGTTCGATGGCGACCGGAATTTGGTTGTAGGCTCGTACCAGGTCTATCGTTGAGAACACCGGCTCGTACCAGGTCTATCGTTGAGAACACCTGTTTCCTTTGCAACGACTGCGCGAAATCCTCGATGTGTTTGACTGGATACCTGTCGGGGAGTGTTCTCGCGTTGAGTGCGCGGTAGTCCCCGCATGGCCTCCATTCGTCCAATCCTTTTTTCGGGACCATGTGCAGAGGAGACGACCAGCTACTCTCCGATGGCCTCGCTATTCCCAGTCGCATCTCGTCCCGAACTCTTTCGTTGCCGCTTTGAGTCGGTCCGGAGCAAGTCGGCGCGGTTTGCAAGTAACCGGCGGGCCCGTTGTCGTCCGTACGTAGTGCACCGTGGAGTGTTTGGTTTCGGTGGGCGTACCTTCTGGCCTGGTGATGTCCGGAAACTTCTGGAGCAGGTCGTGGAACATGGAGCCGCCGTATACGGTTTTGATACTTGGAATCGTTTGGCGACTTCTGTTTGCTGGGAGTCCCGGTACCGACAATGACGTGACCTGGTCCATTAGTCTCTGGTTGCGGATGTCCACCAGTAACCCGAAATGGTATAAAAAATCGAACCCGATGATGGGTTTCGATACCTCGGCCACCACGAAACGCCAGGTAAACGCTCGGCGCAATCCCAAGTCGAGGGTCAGTGTCACCGTCCCGTACGTGGAAATCTCGGTCCCGTTCGCCGCGTAGAGGACGTATAGGGACTTTGCGCGGGGTCCACGAGTCATTATTTTCGGGAAAACGCAGACATCCGCGCCCGTGTCGACCAAAAATTGCGTTTTCGACGCGAAATCCCTAACGAAGAGACGGCGTGTCGTCGGGTTAGTGTCGTCCGCCGTCATTAACGACTGCCCCGTTCGTTTCCCGCGTTGCTCCACGTGCACGGTTGCACGCACTTCTGGGCGTCGGCGTCCAACGCCCAATGATACCAGCATACCCCGCGTTTTCCGTGACGACGGTTCCGGGAATCGGATCGCGAATGTACCTGGCTGGGTGATCTAGGGCGAAAATTTCCGTCGTGACGCGACGGCCGACGCTCGGAGATCAGTTCCTCTCGAATGGCGGAAATCTCTTGCCGCAATGACACCGCCAGCTGAGCCATTTTACCATTCAGTAAGGCCTCGAAATCGTGGCCCGCCACAGGTGTCGTTTCGGCAATCTGTATGCGGTGGGTCACCGTTTCGGCGACCGCGTCTGCGAGCTCCGCTACTTTATCCAGGTCAACGTCTTTCTGCGTCGCGAGTATTACCTGGATATTCGTAGGCAGTCATCCCAACCATAACGTCCGCAATACGCTGTCCGTGACGGTTGTACCTGGCAGTCTTCGGAGGTGCCGTAGGAATTGTGCTGGTTTTCTGTCCCCCATCTCTTCGTGCTCGAGGAGGCGTCGCGATCTCTGCTCTTGCGACGAGCTCAGCCGGTGTATCAGTTCCGTCTTCAGCTTTTGGTACGGCCCAGAGGCTGGTGGGTCCATAATGATGTCCCGTACCTCGGCGGCGTACTGCGGGCTTAGAGCACCCAAAATGTAGCCGTATTTGGTGTCGTCGGACGTTATCCCCGATGCTTGGAAACTACGTTCCGCCATCGTGAACCACAGCTCCGGATCCGCCGGGCAAAATTCGGGAACCCGGACGGCGACACGATTCACCGGGGATGCTCCCGGACCCGTTTCCATTCTCACGGTTCGATTGTTGTTTCGGAACACCAAAAAAAAATGTTTTTACCCGGAGTGCGCACTTGGCTAATGTCACTACACTTCACGTTCAGATCACGTCGGGGTCACCAGAAATTGAGGTGAGTGAGGAACGCCGTTACCCTGTTTTCACCTCAATTTATTAAAGTACAAATTTATGGTCGTACGGGCGTGCAATTTGCCCAGGAAATACAATCGTTTATTTTGTTACTCGTCCTGGCAGCAGCGGTTCGGCGGGTACGTCGCGATGGTCGGTAAAGGAAAAACTGTCCGGAGGTGTAGGCGTACTGGGTTTTTATATTGTTAGGCCAGGGAGACAGGAGTAGCGATAGATAAAGATAGAAGTGAAGAAAGTGGTGGAAACGGAAAATTCGTGGAAAGCGGGCCTTTTGTCCTCGTGCGAACCTGGATGCCACATGTGCGCTTCTTAGGCCACTCGAGGACGAAAGCAAGTCTTAACCCGGGGAGAGACAAAAGAACGGAAACTAAAATCTGAAGGAGTTGGAAAAGAGAAAGTTCGCGTGGAAGAATAGAACGAGGTTCGGTAAGGATTTGTTGACGACGACGTACCCGCCACACTCCCGTGAAAAGAATTTCACGGGAAGGTGTTGAAGTTTGTGTAGAAAAACCTAATGTTATTGTCAATTACATCAAATATATGAACGGCGTTGATCGGGCTGACCAATTGGCCTCGACATATTGTTTCCTAAGAAAATCCATAAAATGGTGGCGAAAGCTATTTTTCTGGGGTTTAGAGGTCTGCTGTATCAATTCATATATTCTCTATAATTCAGCAAAGAAGCAGAGAAACGAACGGCTACTTAGTCACCTGCAATACTTGAAAACTTTAGTTGATCAGTTGAGAGGAGATTTCCGGCAAAAACGACCGCGAGCTTCTACCTCGCAGAGCGGCTCTGAAAATATCCGATTGAATGGGAAGCTCCATGTTATACTAATGGGAAGTAAAAGGGATTGCAAGGTTTGTTCCCAACGAACCAACCCTGGCAAAAGGCAACAAACTGTATATTACTGTGACACTTGCCCCGAGAAACCAAGGATGCATCTCGGAGATTGTTTTATAAAATACCATACGATGCAAAAATATAGAATGTAATGTTTAATCAATTTCTTTCTTTGAACTCTGAAGATATGTAAAATGTTAAAATATACAAGTTTAAAGTGTTATATTGTGTCTGAAATCATTTTAAGCTAACTGTAAAAAATTTATGAAATAAGCGAGAACAGCTAACTTCTCTCGAGTTGCTAATTCGCTCGAGCGAAAAAGGCTTCAAGCGCAAAGGGTTAAATTTCAACAAAGACAAAACAACAGTAATGGCCTTATTAGATATAAAAAAGGCATTCGATAAAGTCTGGATAGACGGACTGCTTTATAAAATGATTAAACAAGAATATCCAAAGTACTTAATTAAACTAATACATTCCTACATCACAGAAAGAACTTTTAAAGTAGTGTATAATAGCAGCAAATCAACAACAAAGAAAATTAGTGCAGGTGTACCTCAAGGCTCGGTACTGGGACCACAATTATTTAAAATATACTTAAATGACATACCAGAATTTCAGAAAACGAGGATGGCACTTTTCGCAGACGACACAGCATTATATGCACATTCATTCAATGCAGTAGTCGCGGCAAAACAAATTCAAATCCACATTTATGAACTACAAAAGTACTACGACAAATGGAAAATTCAAATCAACCCAGACAAAACAGAAGTAATAGTATTCAGCAAAAAGAGAAAGGACAGCAAGATATTCACACCCATAATACTATACAACAAGAAGACAACAACACTAAATAGCGTAAAATATCTTGGTGTACACCTTGATTTAAAATTGACACACAGAAACCATATCAAGCAGTCAATCAGGAAAGTCCATGCGGTAATGAAAAAAGTGTACCCACTTATGGTTAAAAATTCAGCAGTACAAATTAAAAATAAAAGATTAATATACACTACAATTCTTAGACCAATTATAATGTACGCAGCACCCGTTTGGTGCTCAACAGCTCCAACGAACATTAAACCACTGCAAGTATTTCAAAACAAGTGCCTTAGATTAATTCTAAGCAGAGATAGACATGAAAGAATAAAAACGCTTCATGAGGACGCACAAATGCCGTTAATTCCTGAC